ACAATTAGCAAAAGAAGAACAAACAAAACCTAAAGTTGGCAGAAGGAAAGAAATAAGATCAGGGAGGAAATAAAATAGAGTTAAAAAAAAAAGAATAGAAAAAAAATATCAGTAAGATCTAGAACTGGTTTTTGGAAGAGTAAATAAAATCTACACACCTCTGGCCAGGCTCACCAAGAAAAGAGAGAGGACAAACAAGATAAGAAATGAAAGAGGAGAAATTTCAACCAAAAGCACAGAAATACAAAAAAAATAAACCTTAAGTGGAAATTATGAATAATTATATGCCAACAAACTGGAAAACCTAGAAAAAATGAACAAGTTCCTAGAAACATAGTACACCAAAATTGAATCAAGAAGAAATAGACAATTTGAACAAACCAATCACTGGAAATGAAATTGAATCTATTAAAAAACAAACAAAAACCTCCCTGCAAAAAAAAGTCCAAGACCTGATGGCTTCACTAGGGAATTCTACCAAACATACAAAGAAGAACTTATACCAATCCTTCTCAAACTCTTCCAAAAGATTGAAGAGGAAAGAGGGAACATACCCAAACTCATTCTATGAAGCCACCATCACCCTGATACCAAAACCAAAGTTACTACCAATAAAAAAATACATAAATAAATAACAAGCCAGTGTCCTTGATAAATATAGATGCACATTTTTTCATGAAATTATTAGCAAACTGATAAATTCTTAACAAAATTTTAGCAAACTGTTGCTAAAATATTAACACGTAAAAACATCATGTGCTACGATCAAGTTGGATTTATCCCAGGGACACAAGGATGGTTCAACATATGAAAATCAATCAATATGATACATCACATTAAAAAAGAAAGGACAAAAACCATATGATCATCTCAATTGATGCAGAAGCAGCATTTGATAAAATTCAACATCTATTTATGATTAAAAAAAATCTTACCAAAGTGGGTATAGAGGGAACATACCTCAAAATAATAAAAGATATTTATAACAAACCCACAGCCAACATAATACTCAACTGTGAAAAGTTGAAAGCCTTCCTCCTAAAATCTGGAACAAGACAAGGATGCCCACTGTCACCACTTCCATTCAACCTAGTATTGAAAGCTCCAGCCATAGCAAACAGATGAGAAAAATAAAAGGGATTCAAATTGGAAGGAAAGAGGTAAAACTGTCACTATATGCAGATGACATGATACTATATATAGAAAACCCTAAAGACCACACAAAAACTAGAGCTGATAAGCAAATTCAGCAAGTAGCAGGATACAAGATTAACATACAGAAATCTATTGCATTTCTTTACACTAAAAATTAAGTATCAGAAAAGGAAAGTAAAAAAAATCCCCTTTAAAATCACATCAAAAAATAAAATACTTAGGAACAAACCTGATGAAGGAGGTGAAAGACTTATACACAGAGAACTAAAAAACATTAAGGAAATTAAAGATGACTAAATTGAAAGGCCATGCTCTTGGATTAGAAGAATTAATATTGTTAAAATGACAATATGACCCAAAGCAATCTACAGATTTAATATAATTCCTATCAATTACCCAGAACATTCATCACAGTAGTAGAACAAGTAATCCTAAAATTTACATGAAACCACAGAAGACCCAGAATTGCCAAAGCAATGCTGAAGAAAAAGAACAAAGCTGGAGGCATAACCCTCCCAGACTTCAGACAATACTACAAAAGCTGCAGTGTGGTTTAGAGCGGGACTGCTGGATCATACAGTAATTCTATTTTTAGTTTCTTAAGGAATCTCTATACTGTCCTTCATAGTGGCTGCACCAAATTACATTCCCACCAACAGTGTAGTTGGGCTCCTTTTTCTCCACAGAAGTGTATGTGTGTATAACTGAATCAATATGCTTTACACCAGAGACTAATACAACATTGTAAATTGACTACAATTCAATTAAAAAAAAAAGATGCACATTGGATAAAAAGTTACAAGTACCATAACTTTCCAAAGGGGGAGCCCCCAGGATGCTATGGGAATATACAGCAGTGTTTTACCCCAGTTTAGAGAGTGGAAGAAAGCTAATGTATCTATAAAATAATGGACAGGGGCTGAATACAAGGAGTTAATGGCAATGGGAGATGGGAGTGAAGTGAAGAATGTTCCAGGCAGAGAGAACAGCAGTTAAGAAACTGAGGGAAGGGAACTGTGACCACCACTTTTATTATTCTACATATTATGCCTAAAACAATGGTGGGTCCATAACAAGTGCCTGTGAGTGAACAAATGAATAAACAAGTGGATATAGATATCTGCATCCTGGGGTATTTCTCAACCACTGTGTTTCGTGAAGATAGTTTTAACTTGAACTTGATGTGAGAACTATTTGTAAATGAGATCATCAATGAGGGTTAGTCCTCTAGTTATAATCAACATGGTTCTCAGAATGCTACTCAGTCCTTAATCCCATTTAATTGTTAGGTCATTGAACATATAGGAACCATGGCTTATAGTTCTTCTGTAGCCAGCAAAGCACCTAGCTCAGCACTAAGCACATTACAGGTGCCAAATACTCAGCCTTAACAGTGAATATCCCTTTCAAATATTCTCAGAAACATTGCTGTTATCAATATGAAAGATTCCTGAGTCCTAAAAGTTATGATCATAGTTTGCATATGGTTGAGTCAAAAAGATTTTAAACACGTGGTGTTCTTAGTACCTTTTTTTAATATCCTAGTTTTTTTAAGTTAATGTATCATTATATATTTTTTTTAATTGAAGTATAGTCACAATGTGTTTTGAGTATCAGCTTCCCATCATTTTGCTTTGGGGTAGGGGACCATTTTCTTTAGTATGCTTCCTTTTCTGATCCATCCACAGTGTTCCCAAGAGACCTGCTATTTTCTAACTAATCCCGTTTTTCTGGCCCCAGCTGGTAGTGGTGTAAAGGGTGCAAACTCCCAAAATGGGTCAGTCTATACCCTTGCCTGTGAAGAGTTCTTATTTTTTGTTTTGTGTTTTCCTTGATACCAAAAAAGTAGTTCATCTCCAGTGACAGAAACTATTAGAAAAGAAGGCCAGTAGCTGTCAGCAGCTCTGTTTTCTGATATATGATGGAAACTGGATTGAGATGAGAGAGAAGAAAGTCAACAAAGCCCAGTGGGGCCAAGAATTGAAGAGAGAGTCCTGCAGGTTTTATGTTCCTGGTTCTGTTACAACTGAGGCTCAGCTGCATCTTTGCTCTTCCAAGAGAACCCATAGATTTTAGCTGTAGTTAGGTGGGTTCCTGCTACTTGAATCACTAATTAATACACTTAGTCAAGGACAAGGATAACAGAATCATAGAACCTTTAAGGAGTCTTTGAGGTTACCAAGGACAATCTCATAGCATTAAGAGAAATCCTATGAGATGGCTGCCCAACTTCTGCTTAGTGAGTAGCTAGAGAGAAACTCAGCGATGCAGCCCATTCCAGTCTCTAACAGACTCTGCTTTGTAACACCTAGCCTAAATCTCCCTTCTAGAATAGAACACTTCCTGGGCTTAGCTCTACTTTCTAGAAATCGTTAAAAGGGCTAATCTTCCCACACAATAGTCCTTCAGCTGTTTTAAGTTGGCTCTCGTACTTTCCCCAACTCTTGGAAAGCAGCACAGCAAGCTGGCTACAAGTAGCTGTTCTAGATAAGAACACTCAGATTCACGTTCCTCATTTACTAGCTACAGAACCTTAAACGAGCCACCTAATCTAAGTCTGCTTTATCACCCATAGAACAGAGAAGCGGGGATAACAATGGCGCCTACCTCACAAGGCTTTTGAGAGGATTAAATGAGATAACAGATATTAATTCTAGACATGTAAGTACTCAATAAACCTTAACCATTGCTGTGGTGATGGTGACTGTAATCACTACTACCACTATCTCTTCTTCTGTCTCCCAGTTACTTCTAATCCCTTCAACCATTTGTCATTTACTAGGAACCTGATCAACTTGCTTGTCCTTTATGTGTTGTCGCCAGAATGAAACACAGGACCCCAAATGGGTAGTGGCCCAAGAGGTGTATTATACGATAGCTTCTACATGCATAAACACAACCTATAATTCTGCTGCTTTTTTCTGCAGCCACCTGACACAGCTCTTCCAGACTGGGCTGGAGGTTGACCCAATCTCCCAGACCCTCCTTCACGTGAACAGTTTCCTCATCTTGTTTTTGTGCAATTTT